TAAAGCCTTTCCCTTTAACAATGCACTAAGATTTATAGCCCAGTTTGATTTATCCCAGTGCTGAGCTTCAGCATATCTTTCAAATCTAAGGAGAAAGCTATCCATCTCATCGTGAGAATCATCAAAGAAAGGGAGTTTGGGTGTTTTGGGAAAAACCTGACCGACTGTAACCTTTGCCTCTTCTGACAAAATAGGCTTTTGTTCTAGTTTCATTCTCTCAATATCATTTCTCATTTTCTCTCTCTCTAACTCAAAACTTATTCTCTCTCTTTCAACCTCAGCTTGAGAATTTATTTTGATCTTATCTAACTCTCTCTGAGCTTGTCTTTCATCTCTCTGTATAGCTTGCTGCTCTTTAATAAAATTTGTCAGGTCTGACGCTTGAAGACCTAAGCTCTCCCCAAATGATTTCAACTCATTTAAATCATCCATTTTGGAGATAACTAACACATGTGACGAAACAAATTTTGATTCGAACCTCACTTCACCCGTAACTACCGTAAAACCAGCAAAAAATATGCATTTACTAACCGCATCGCGATAATCTTTACATCCAGCTACGCAACATGCACCATTGCTTACTCTGTCTTTACCAGAATGGTCCAACTCACTGAGACAGGCCCAACTCCTGTTAGCACTTTTCTGAGGTCCCAAACAACCAGAATCCGGCTGATTCTCTACAACATAGAACAAACACAACAGCAAATTGGAAAATACAAAATGAAACAGCATGTAGAAAACAAAAAGCAAATAAAAAAAAAATTCAACAGGAAGAGAAAAATGTTTCTTTTTTTTTTATATATATATTTTACAAAATTTTACAAAGTATACTTGAAAACTTAAGATGGTTTCAAAAACAATAGAACAGAAAAATCATATTCTTAGGGAATCTTATCCCACTTCTGACACCAATTTGTCACAGATAGTCGAGCGGATTTACTTCTTTACTAAATTTAAATATAACTCAAATGCTTTTGTCCAGATAATTTACATATTTAATTACAATAAATGTACAAATATACAATATCCGTTGTTTGTCCTATAATGGGTTTTTGTCGTTCCGCGCCTTCCACTCCACCGGCTAGAGGAAGATCTCTAGGGCCTCTCTATTACACATCATTATGGGAGGGCGGACACACTGAAGGCACCTGGTGGCCTCTCCATACAGTCCCTACATTTACTATGGATGGATGGAACCTGCACCAACATACACATACAAGTTTTACTAATAAGCTCTTGTGGCTTAACACAAATACATACTTTACTCATTATCAGATTTACAGATAATGTACACGTCTTAGATAAGACTTAATTAAACACACATGATATGTTTAAACTATACATACAACCCATACACAAATGCAATATTACGAATTGCTACTTTAAGGACAAATAATTATGACGGAAATTTTACACCATACTTATAAATATTCAAATACGTGTTGCTATATATAGTAATCACATTAAACAAAATATACATGCTAAAACTGATGAGAAATGCGGTGACTGGGTGTTTTAGGACAAATTAATGATACAAGAAAATAACTAAGATAAAATGATAAACATAAACCTTACCTCAGAAAAGCTGGACCATTACACACAAGAAATACAAAGTAAGCCCTGCAAAACAACTGGTACTCGGTGTAACTATCAATGCTGGTTACAAAAGTTACAAAACATATCTGAGAGGGGTAAAAGCGTCCTCCTCTCTGGACTGCCGTGTCCAAACTAACTTGCACGGACTGGCGGGTTTTAAGGTCCAGTGAACTGAGGTTCAGTGAAGGATATGTACAGTAATAACACATTTAAAACGAAGGGGTTCCCCACGGGATATTTACATGAAATTTAAAATACATTACCAAAAGTATGATAGGATGATTTTAATGTGACAAATACAAATAAGCATATCAAGTTTGATAAAAATATCTTGAATGGATTCTTAAAGATGTAATGTCCCTCTGATAAGATAGATAATTTTCTAATGAAATTATTCCAAACAATCCAATGCATTGTCATACCAGAGTTTCAAAATGAGGACCAGTATATAGTCAAATATATACATTTCCAATGTCTTTGTCCGAGATAAAATTACAAATTGTAAAAATACTTTATTTCTACATAAATCTACTGGTTCATCGATAGGCGCGGTTAAAAAAATTACGTGCGGGGCGGGACAAATAGAGACAGAAGCGGGGCTATTAGCACGGGAATTTGCAGAATCAGGAGCATGCAAATATAAGGAATAACTGTCAGATTTTTTGGATTCATGACGATGATCAATCGATTGGCTTGCGTGATAATTTTATGCATAAACGCCTTCGGCGTTTATACAAATTATCACGCAAGCCACTCGATTGATCACATCATGAATCCAAAAAATTAGACAGTTATTCCTTAATTCTATCAATTCTTTTGATTGTTACAAGAATTTATCAAGCAGTATTTACATTTCCAATGTCTTTGTCCGAGATAAAATAACAAATTGTAAAAATACTTTATTTCTACATAAATCTACTGGTTCGTCGATAGGCGCGGTTAAAAAAATCACGTGCGGGGCGGGACGAATAGAGACAGAAGCGGGTCTATTAGCACGGGAATTTGCAGAATCAGGAGCATGTAAATATAAGGAATAACTGTCAGATTTTTTGGATTCATGACGATGATCAATCGATTTCGGCGTTTATGCAAATTATCAAGCAAGCCACTCGATTGATCACATCATGAATCCAAAAAATTAGACAGTTATTCCTTAATTAGATGCAGAATTTTCATAATCAATTATTTAATAGTTTTTTCTCTCTTAAAAATATCTTGAAGATAACTCCCATAGATGGAAAGACAACTCTTGTAGATGGATGCATTTTTTTTTTACAAGCTCAAATTGTAATATTCTGGTTCAGCATCAAAAACAAGTCCAGGGACCCGTTTTACAAAAGAACTTACAACTAAGACCCAAATTTAATTCTGCTTAGTATGTTCTATTTTACTTTTATTTGTAAATAGTTTTAATCTGTTATAAAAGAATTTAATCATTAATTTTGCAAAATTTTACAATTAGCTCAAGTTTTTGGTCTTAGTTGTAAGTTTTGTAAAACAGGTCCAAGTACTGTCCTATAGATTTCAATGTAAAACTCTGATTCCCTGTTGTGGCCCCACCCTACCCCCCAGGGCCATGATTTGAACAATTTTAAAATTTACACTATCTTAGGATTCGTCCACATCAGTTTCAGCTTTTCTGGCCCAGTGGTTCTTAAGAAAAATATTTTTAAAGATTTTTTCTATGCATTTCAAGGTAAAACTTTGATCCCCTATTGTGGCCCCATCCTTCCCCCAGTAGCCATGATCTGAACAACTAAGAATCCACACTACCGCAGGAACCTTCCACATAAGTTTCAGCTTTTCTGGCCCAGTGGTTCTTGAGAAGAAGATTTTTCCTATATATTTCAATGTTAAACTTTGATTCCCTATTGTGGCCCCATCCTACCCCTGAGGGCCAAGATTTGAAGAATTTAGAATCTACACTCCCCCAGAATGCTTTCACACAAGTTTCAGCTTTTCTCGGCCAGTGGTTCTTGAGAGAAGAATATTTTTTAATGACTCCACCCTATTTTCGTCTTTTCTTGATTATCTCCCCTTGTAAAGAGGGTTGGCCATTCAATTCAATAATTTAAACTCCCCTTGACCCAAGGATGCTCTGTACCAACTTTGGTTAAAATTGGCCCAGTGGTTCTTGAGAAAAAGTTGAGAATGTTAAAACTTTTCAGACGGACGACGAACAAAAGGTGATCTAGTATATATTCTTACCAAAAAATGCGCAACTTTGAGTAGATTGTCTTAATTTAAAACAAACTTTTGAAAGGTTTCTTTTTCATATCTTGTAAAACAATTCTTTATAAAGATTTTAGTACCAAAAATTACATAGCCATCCAGCAAGGCACGCAAGTTTGTTTCAGTCTAAGTCCAGCACTCCCCACTCAAATACAGTATATAGAAAAATCAGCATGCCTTCAATTAAAATGAATCAGGTCAATACAGGAAGTTTACATATATTTTTTCATCTCATTAAAAAAAATCATCTCCAATCTCGTGTCAAAAAGCCAATTTCAAAGATTCAGGAATTATTTTGCATCAGCCATGTTTTGACATGAACCTCAACTAAAATACTGTTATGACAACTAAGCTCATCTTGCCTGTTGAGGTGAGCTAAATACATGTATATACATTTTTTTTAAAATCATGTTTTGACATCCTATGCTGTGACATTTTCGAAACATTGATATCCTTTTTATTATCACTTATTTATAAATATTATATAAAGAGTATATCCATACCTTGATACGCGTTAACACTGATAAACACATAATTATAAAAAAAAAATTTTGAAGGAACTATTCGATACGCAAGGTAAAATGTCGTATATACTGTGTATTATGTCATCAGTTTCAGAGAGGGGTGATATGCATTCAGAAAACCACAGTGTGATGAACTGCAAAGTTGGATCACACCATCATGTGATTGCATTAAATCAATGGTAGCATTGAGTGATACCCAGTTGGGTATCTATTAAATAATAAGAAATACATATACAGTCAAACCTCATTATCTTAACTCAATGGGACTATGAAAAACTTCGAGATATCCGACGATTCAAGATATCCAGGGTATAATACTTAAAGAATAAGAGGCTGGGTCTTAAAAATCACTTTGACATATCCATGGAATTTGAGATATTGCTGTTCCAGATACTGAAGTTCAACTGTACTTATGTCCAGAAATTCACTTTTAAATCAATTTACAATTATTGTAACACTACTATGCTGTTATATTTATATCAAGCCTTCGGGTAAGAAATTTATGATGCTTTCTGGGAAAACTTCTAAATGTCTACCCCACTGTAATGAGTGCATACATCTGCAAGGATCATATGCACATAAAAATGAAATTTCGCAATATTGTGAAAAATACTCTCAATTTATTCATACAAGTATTATATTGCCCATACATCATATAAGATTAAAAATTTCAATAAGCAAATACAGCACCCATTTTCAAAAAAAAAAATATCAATATATTTTATGCTTTTAAAATCAAAGGTTGAATTCAAATAAATATGTTTGACTTTTTCATGTGCAATTCTTTAAATACTACAGTTATACTGCCTTAGATTGCAAATGAATGTTAGTTTTTAGTAATGCCTCTGAACACAGCTAATGGGTGGAATGACTATTGTTATGATGAATTTTCTTTCAGCTCCTTTTTGTACCACTGTCTGAATTATCCCACTGTATAAAATGCTTTCATCAAACTCCACTCTTCTCTTTGAGTGCATACAGAACATCATCCTGACTAACATTTAGCCTCACTCTCATTTGAAGGTCGTTACGTCCATGTTCCACCAGCAGTAGACGCACACTTCCTAAACGTGCACATATCCTAGCCAGTTCTGTAGTTGATGGAGGCTTTAGTCCTGTATTCAACATAAGCAATTCACATATTATCAAGTAACTCCAGGAACCTGTAACATTCATTAACAGAGCCAATTTCAAAGAAAGCCATATTTACCATCAATCCTACACAATGCTGCATGCTGGGTATAAATTCTAGAGAACTCTGCTTCCTCCAATCCACACCTTTGGAATTCTGCCACCACAGCTCGCAGAAAAATCTTCTCCTGGTCTGATGCTGTCCTGCATATAATGAAGATTATTCTTAAATCACAATAATGTTTTTATTAGAAAATAATACAAGCTTTCATGTATTTCAACAATATATCAATATGTGGTTAAAGTGTAACCAAAAAACTTCAATTGAAAACAAAAGCCTTTTTTTAACAACTCCAAGCCAAATGAAATACTATCGGATGCATTTTTAGTGAAAATAACTAAAGACACAGATTAAAGACTCTACCTCATGGCTACAACTTTTGGAGAAGAAAACATTTCTTGAAGTGCTGCATTTACGTGTGTCATTCCAACCAGGGATAGTTTGGTCTTGGAGGGGGACAGATTCTCCGTGATTTCTGTAGCTCTGCGACAAATGTCCAGGGCTCGTCTGGCATCCCCCGACACTGCTGCCACTTTTCTGGCAGCCAGCTGAATGGCATCTTCCTCAAAGGCCTTTAGTCCCTTCATTCTGGAGATCACTATCTCCTGGAGCTGTTTGAAGGTGTAAGGCTGGAATGTCATTCTTGTTAGTCCCTAGATAATTCAACAAATTAAATGGTTGGATTAAAACTGATGTTCAAAATTAATTGGTTTTCTTAACAAACTAGAACTGTCCAAAAGGGACAAATACCCCCTCTGGGTTTTTCAGAGGTGCCAAATCACTAATATTTTATGGATCTAAGAGGAGTTCACAATTTTCTTATAAACATTTAGAGTGAAACTAGAAATATGTCCATAGGACATGAATGCCCCGCCGAGGGTATATTAGTAATGCAACATTTTAACACAAATTGAGAAAAGTGAAGTCAAGGTCAAAGGAAAGGTCAAGGTGAAAAAATATTGATGCAGTTGAATAGCTCTCATCAGTATGTATCAGCATATGAAGTTTGACACTAATTTAAAAAAGGTGAGGTCAAGGTCAAAGAAAAGATCAAGGTCAAAAATTGTTGATGCAGTTGAAAAGGTTACATCAGTATGTATTAGCATATGAAGTTTGATAAAAATATTATGAATGGTTTCTTTAAAACTGAGCTAAACACTAATTTAAGAAAAGTGAGGTCAAGGTCAAAGGAAAGGTCAAGGTCAAAAAATATTGATGCAGTTGAATAGCTCTCATAAGTATGTATCAGCATATGAAGTTTGACACTAATTTAAGAAAAGTGAGGTCAAGGTCAAAAAATGTTGATGCAGTTGAATAGCTCTCATCAGTATGTATCAGCATATGAAGTTTGATAACACTATCTTGAATGGTATCTTTAAAACTGAGCTAAAAACTTATTTAGGAAAAGTGAGGTCAAGGTCAAAGGAAAGGTCAAGGTAAAAAATATTGATGCAGTTGAATAGCTCTCATTAGTATGTATCAGCATATGAAGTTTGTTAGAAATATCTTGAATGGTTTCATTAAAACTGCGCTAAACACTAATTAAAGAAAAGTGAGGTCAAGGTCAAAGGAATAAAAAAATGTTGATGCAGTTGCATAGCTCTCATCAATATCTATCAGCATATGAAGTTTGATAAAAATATCTTGGATAGTTTCTTTGAAACTGAGCTTTGAACAGAGCAAAACGCAAAGTGTGACGGAAGGACGGAAGATGGACAGGACAAACACTATATACCCCGGCCATATTCATGGCGGGGCATAAAAATAATTGCTCATTATATCTTTTTAATGAATGAAACCAAGGAACAACCTAATAAAACATCAATACCAATACATTGTTATTACATAGTTTTTTTAATACATTGAAAAAATAAATTGCAACTATCTGTCATCTTTTTGAGACATGACACTCAGCAAATTGATTGATGCAAAAAAAAAAATCAAGTAATTACAAAATGAAATTAATCTTGATAACTTTATATCAAATTCATTTTAAAAATAAAAGGCTGGTCATCCAGTAACTATGTACTATGACAGACAATAAATTACAATTAAGAGAATTAAAGAACAGAGATCTTTAAATTCCCAGGAGATATATAACACATGCTTGATCAGAGATGCCCTAACAACTTCCCACACTGAACTCATTAATTTATCTCTAAATGGATGATGTCCACTCATTACTCCCAAGGGACAAATGGGTTTACACTATCTGCTGTGTAATGTAAAAACTGTTTTAATACTTTGTGATTTTTTTTTCTTTTAATGAATAGTTTTAAGCTGTAGTTCACATTTTTGTACAGATGTTCTAGATTCTACGTCTCAAACCTTAAAAATAAACCCACAATGACTAAGTCAATAAAAATGAAAAAAAAAAACCTGTAAAATGCAGAAAAATTATCAAATAATGCTGAAAATATCAGGTGCACATCTTCATATGGTAAATAATGAGTGTACAAATTTTCGTATAATTCTATGAAATAGTTTTTGAGAAAAGGTCAGGACAAAACCACATATTAAAAACGAAAAAAAAACTCCTGTAAAATGCAGAAAAATTATTCAATCATGATGAAAATATCAGGTGCACACCTTCATATGGTGAATAATAAGTGTACAAATTTTCAGACAAATCTATGCAATAGTTTTCGAGAAACGCTCTGGACAAAATCTCATCTACAGACAGACAGACTGACAGATGGACAAACAGACGGACATGGCGATTCCAATATACCCCCCCTAAACTTCGGTTGCGGGGGGTATAAAAAGTTTAAATTGCTTTTTTTCTAACTTAGATCGCCCATAGTAGCCACACCCTACTCCCAGGGGTCATGATTTGAACCAACTTGAATCCCCTTTACCCATGGATACTCTGTGGCCAAGTTTTGTTGAAACTGGCCCAGTGGTTCTGGAGAAGAAGAAATTGTAAAAAGTTCAAGACAACGATGACAACGTCGATGACAGACATTGAACAGACAAATTTTGATTAAAGAAGCTCATTTGAGCCTTTGGCTCAGGTGAGCTAAAAATTACACAAAATATACTGTGGAATCACTAATTTATATGGGGATTTAATTTTTTTCATGGTATGAAGAGATCCATGAATTCATGTCCACCTGAAAGGTGTAAAATTTCAAATCAAGCCAAAATTCATCTTAAACCAAGAAATCAAATCCCCTTGAATCCATATTTTCCCTTCAAACCTCAAAAATTTGACCCCATGAAAATAAGTGTACATGTTTATCCTCTATTTTCATCTGATTAGAATTAGTAATTAAGACAACAAAATTAATGGCTTACTAATCTGCTAGAGACTCTTTTCATCATAATGCGTTCTGGTAAATCCATGGTGTTTGCAACAGCAAGAACTACCAGGCGAGCGTGACGATGTGAAGGCCAATCAAAGATATTATACATCACATCCTGTTTCCTGGTCCACAAAAGGTCTAGCTGAAAAGTAAAAATAAATTCTTATTTTACAAGATCAAAGGTTAGCTACAAATTGCACTTGCATTGTAAATGTATATCTGAATTCTGCATTTTCCAACAAATAAAATTTCCAAGTTATTATGCTTCACTCTATAGTACTTTGTAAAGAGAACTGAAAGAGCTAGGTTCACTTTATGCATATAATGGCCCTGTAGATATACCGTTTTATTGACTAACACTTTATGTTCCATTTTAAACATCAAGATAAAGTAGAGACTTAGTGCTTTCATTTCCTATCAAAAATTTTCTCCTTAAAGCCAAGGTCTTGGAAAACAGGCTTCATGGAATTGCAATGTTCTTGAATTTTAAGGAAAACAAGTATATTTGAGTACTTTCACAGAAGAGAAATAATATGAGCGCACCCTCTGATCTAAAAAATAAAACATGTTTTGTAATCCTCAGAAATAGTTCTATCATTTAATAGTTGCATATTTTAGATCAGAGGTTGCGCTCTATATTAAATATCGAAAAATAGCTTTAAAAATTGGCTGTTTCTGTAGAATTTTTCAGGATATGAGGAAAATGATGCATTTAATGACATCATAATGCATTGACTACCCAGAAAATTACGTCACTTTTGATAGATACGCAGTCACCAAAGGTCTAAATGATATTTAATGCACTGTCAACTAAAACCAAGCAGTTTCAGTTTTTCTGAAATTCACAGGGCCAAAAAAGGCCCTAAGTGAACCTCGTTCTTTTTTTTTTAAGTCAACATGCATAATGAAACAGCAAATCTCACCTCATCAACCAACATGACAATAGTTTCTTTACGAGGCCCTGGGGTGGTAAATTTTTTGTTCAGCAAATCTGCTGCATGGTCAGGGGTAGCTTTCTGATTGGTCAGTTGCTTCAATAAACAAACAATAAAAGTTTTCCATGTGAAATGCATTTTTTTTTTTAAATTCATATACAGGATTTCCCTTTGGTACAGATCACATAAGTCATAAACTTTTTTCAGACAAAAATATAGTCTCATACTTACCTGTAACATTTGTACATAAGCCTGATGGGGCTCTGTTAATTTCATTCCATTGACGTCTATGTACTTACCTGTAACATTTGTACGTAAGCCTTATGGAGCTCTGTTAATTTCATTCCATTGACGTCTATGTACTCACCTGTAACATTTGTACATAAGCCTGACGGGGCTCTGTTAATTTCATTCCATTGACGTCGATGTACTTGAAACCTGGTAATTCCTCCTGCTCTGTGGCCTGGTGGAGGGCCCTGACCACTTCGTGTACAGTGGCTGTCTTACCCGTCCCAGGAACTCCTGATATGTACATACATCTGTAAAAAAATTCAATTTCATTCACAATTTATTGTAAAAGCAAGAGGTCCACGGGCCTTGATGATCACCTGGTTATCAAGAATTTTTCAGGGTTGTACTCCTCAGGTCCAAGGACTGACCATAAAATTCAGCAAACTGGATTAGCTAATTCAAAGAAGAAGTTGAGGTTTAGCTATTTAAAAGAGGAAGTTGAAAATGTTTTTTAAGAATTAACAAATGACACACAATGCATATGTACACACTACAATAGATCACCAGAATGACCACATAACCTGCAAAAATCCATCAAATAAAAAATCATCAATAAAGGACAACTTACAGGAAATTGTTTTAAAAATCTTACAGTATAAATGTACAAAGGTAAAAACTGCTTAACCAATACACTTTTAAATCTGGCTTTGACAAATAAGGATCACAGGAAATATACAACAAATTTATTTGGTACCAAAATGCATTCACAGACTGCAGCATATTTTAGATACGTGTAGATAAAATATTAAGAACTCTTCCTTCTTTTTTCATTCAAAGAAATATATTTAACATGCACAGAGACACCACAGATACCTAAGTATTTACAAGTTGAAGTTTTAATATTATGTGTACCCACCCTCCAGTTCCATCCAAGATTTTACTCTCCACAAAGTTATAAATATCCTGAAACTCTGTCTCTCGGCATGGAAGAGAATCTGGAACTGCTGATACATGTAATCTAAGAATGAAAACAACAGGTTTAACAAACCTGATCCAAAAGAAAAAAAAAATCTGATATATAGATTTGTTCAGTTTTCATGAATACATAATTAACACTGCTACAAATATTTGCCCATACATCTATACTATTGAAAGTTAAAGATGTATATGTATCTGCAGGTAAACTTTGAAAGTAGATTGTTGAGCTCGCTACACTGTATGCATTCCTAGAAGAATCAGCTACGTACAAGTACATATATTAGTACATACATGTAACTCAGTGATGCATTATTACCTAGATCTAGCTTCTTCTAGAACATTGGAGGGTGAGGTTAACGGCTCACATCTCTCAGGAATCTTTGGGGTGGCACAACTACTGCCTTTCTGTTCAAAATATTTTATGTATTTCTAATAATCAATAACAACTCATTACACATCGGAGGTAAGAGTTATATATCTTGGCATCATTAAAATTGTAAAATATAATTTTACTATTACATAACAGTTTTAAGGATACATTGCTAAATTTGCTGCGTGCTAAAAATTTAAACTGATGGTATACAGTATTACACAGGATTTTTTTTTGTTTACCCTTTGTTTTTTGGCCTTCGGTGTGGTCATCTTAGTTGTTCTGGGAGTTTTCTTTCTCGAGGGTCCACTGAAGTCGGACAGATCACTGTCTGTGTCACTGTCTGAGGGCAGGAAAACCTCGTTTTTTCCTACTGGTGAAAAGTCCACATTCTCATCATAAGTAATAACCCTGAAATAAATTTGGGTGTTCATTAGTTTATGTAACAAAATACTCAGAAAATCTATTTTACTTAAAATTATTAATATATTAGCTTTTTATTGCAAAGCATTTCCTTAAACAGTTTAAATATTTTGATGACTTGTCATCAAATTGTATTGTAAAAATACTGTTGGAAATTTTGAATACAACTACAGTAATTCTAGTTTAGTAAGATCATAAATATATCATATTAAGGGATCCCTGGTGAACTTCTTCACAATTCTTAGTAATATTTTATGATTATAAAAAAAACTCTAATAGCGGATTTTATCTCAAACATAATGAAAATTACATTAAATTTAAAATATTGAACAAACATTTTTATCATTATTATATTATCATTATCACACAGTATTTCATTTTTATTTAAACTTAAATTCATAAGGAAACTTAAGAAATTCAGGGTAAGTTTATAATTAATACCTCCCTGAACACATTCAGTTGGTCATACTTAAAAGAAAATTTGTATATAGCAAATTCCCTTTCTATACTTTAACGAATTTGTAATACAGATATTATGGAAATAGCGAAGTAAATGCACAGGCTCTAGGACTTCAATATAACTGTGTTTTACTATACATGTACAAGAGGCCCATGGGCCACATCGCTCACCTGAGTAACTTTGGCCATGCTGTTCTTTACAAGACTTCCCCCCTTGTAATACCTATTGTGGCCCCGCCCTACCCCCAGGTCATGATTTGAACAATTTAGAATCTATATTACCCCAGGATGCTTCCACATAAGTTTCAGCTTTTCTGGCCCAGTGGTTCTTGAAAAGAAGATTTTTAAAGATTTTTCTTATATATTTCAATGTAAAACTTGGATTCCCTATTGTGGCCCCGCCCTACCCCTGGGGGTCATGATTTGAACAATTTACAATCTACACTACCCCAGGATGCTTCCACATAAGTTTCAGCTTTTCTGGCCCAGTGGTTCTTGAGAAGAAGATTTGTATATATTTTTCTTATATATTTCAATGTAAAACTTGGATTCCCTATTGTGGCCCCGCCCTACCCCCGGGGGTCATGATTTTAACAATTTAGAATCTACACTACCCCAGGATGCTTCCATATAAGTTTCAGCTTTTCTGGCCCAGTGGTTCTTGAGAAGAAGATTTTTTCAAGATTTTTCTTATATATTTCAATGTAAAACTTGGATTCCCTATTGTGGCCCCGCCCTACCCCCAGGGGTCATGATTTTAACAATTTAGAATCTACACTATCCCAGGATGCTTTCACATAAGTTTCAGCTTTTCTGGCCTAGTGGTTCTTGAGAAAAAGATTTTTTAATGACCCCACCCCATTTTTGTCTTTTCTTGATTATCTCCCCTTGTAAGGGGACTTGGCCCTTTATTTTAACAATTTACACTCCCCTTCACCCAAGGATACTTTGTACCAAGTTTGGTTAAAATTGGCCCAGTGGTTCTTGAGAAGAAGTTGAAAATGTGAAAAGTTTACAGACGGACGGACGACGGACAACAGGTGATCAGAAAAGCTCACATGAGCTTTCAGCTCAAGTGACCTAAAAAAGGAACAATGTATATCTCACATTTTTCTGGTGACTATACTTTCTTAAGAGTCTGATATCAAATATGAAAAACTAATTAACAAATAGAAAAATTGTTTAATGGTACAGTTTCAGATGGACATGTTTGACTAAAAAAGATGTGGATGTCCCCAGTGGCCAGGACCACATTTATTTGACCAGTGCCTTTAAAAGTATACGCTACTGATTGACCAGTAAGGTTTTATTGCTAACATTTTTTTTCTTGGGCTAGTAAATTATCGGTGTCAAAGAATCTAGAGATAACCATTATGAAAAAAAATACAGCCATGCCAACAGTATAACATAAGCTCTATCTGAATTCATTAATGTAAGGAAAAAATATTTAATAATATAGATTCTGTAATATAATTAAAGATTTAGATTATTTTATAGAAACACTTTTTACAGTATTCAATCCACTGAAACCTCTTTTACTCCTTACTTGCTTCTTTTTCTCAGATTTCGAGATGCTGGTGTTTCTGGTCGTGAGGAATCAAACTGTTGAGTCAGCTTTTTTCTGGCTGGCCGGTCAGTACTCTCTGGGGTCTTGTTCCTGTGGGACTGGTACATGTTATCAGAGATCCTCTTAATCACAACCTTCTGCACTTTCCTCTGTGCTGCCTTAGTGGCAGACTTAGGCTGAGGTTTACTATCATGTGCTGAGAACGAAACTCTTCGGTTCAGGTGCCGAGGTTCTGTACGGCTCAAATGAGCCAGTTCTGGTTTCTTCTGGGGGGTGAGTATAGATTTTAAGGGCATGGATTTATTGCTGCAAACACTGGAGACTTCAGAGGATGCAGTAGATATTAGAGATATTGCATCACTATCATCATCATCCATTAACATAGAGGCTACATCCTGTGCCTCTATTCGCCGTCCCAAAAACTGACCGGTCGACTTTCTCCTGTCTATATAAACATGCAGAATGTGAAAAGGATATGTATATCTAGGCTCTTCCTTTTAGCACATTTAAAACTCTCCATTTTGGAAGACATGTTTCACATTAAACACAAATTTAATTAGAGCAATGATTTCAATAGTGTCTTACCTGGCAGCTTCTTAACCTTTGGCACCAAAGAAGTAAGGACATCAGCGTCCACCTTTTGGTCATTATTGACTGGAATGACGTTTAACATACTCTTTCTTTCCTGTAGTTGACGTGCTGGAAGCCCTCCAAAAGATCTCCTAGTTTTTGGTCTCACATCTTCATTTTCTTTATACTCCTTTGAGTTCTTCTGTGTAGGTTCCTTTCTCATAACTTTATCTTTGACATCTTCTAGATCTTGAAATTTTGTTCCATCAAATGTCTTGCTGAACACAAAAGTTTTTAACATGTCTTTTGACTGCTTCTCTTCTAAATCACCTTGAAGTACCTTTCAAAGATAATTAGTCCACAGCATGAGCTCACTTCAGTGACAAAATCTACATTATTATATTATAATAAATTGGCCCAGTAGATGTTTGAGTATTTACTTGCAAAAACTAGACAGATATAATCTTCTTTTTAATACAGATTAAATTTTAAATGTTTCAAAAAAACTTACTTTGCACTTGCACAAAACAGTTTCAGGGTCTATTTCTCTTTGAACATTTCTGCTAACATTTAGGAATACTTCATTTGACTGTATTCTCCCATATTTCTTTTTACATCTTTTTAACATGGATTCTGTCAACTCCTCTTGTGTCCAGTACCACTGTACTTCTGCAACATTCTGTTCACCTAAGATAGTACAGTATTAAAAAAGAAAAAAAAATTCATGTTTTGAGAAAGAAAATTTTAATTAGCCAATAACTACAACATAAGTCCATGGAAGATTTTCTTCCATTTACATCAATGTATATTCAACTTATCATTATATATAAAGAAAAAAAAACAAAACAAAAAACAAAAAAACCCTTTAAAATGTCTGTTAATTTATCAATCAACTGTACTTATCATTTCATTTTCAAGTTATACCAATTGCATTTGTAACCATAAATTTAATTGCTATATAGAAATTCTAGCATTTTGTTTGAAATTCATTAATTATATTTTGAGAGATTACCATCAGAATAAAGGTCTTCTAGTTTGGCAACATAAGCTGATTCTAAAGGATCTTCCTGGAAGTCATCATTGCTACTAGCAATCAGTACAAAGTCTCCAATGTTATACTGTCTCTGATTCAGCTGAAATTGTCTGGAAATAAAATGTTCCTCTAAATGGCAATGTATCTCTTTCAAAGATAACACTTTGATCTGAGTCCCTCTGATAATAATTTGACATTTGAGATATAACTTAATTATGGTCACCTAGAGGACAATATGTACCCCCTCCTGTGAAGGAGTGATTTCAATTTTCTGTTTTGCCCAAACATTTTTGTCAAAGACACGCATAAAATTATCTAACCTCGTTACACTTCGATACATAAACTTACATATTTAAAATAAAGTTCAAGATATATCATTGATCAATATATGAGCTCATTGTTCCAACAATGTCTAACACTCAAACAATTTCAATAAAAGATTACCTGTAGTGTTTTTCATGTGGTCTCCTTCTATCCTTCACAATACTACCATTTTCGGTCCATCTGAACTTTTTGTCATTTTTTACTGGAAAATATCGCCGCGAAGTCATTTTTCTCTTGACTTTGCTTCCCGCTGTTTTTCTTTCGGAACTTCCCACGTTTTGCTTTGTATAGACAAATCGATCAATGTTATATTCGTACATATTAAGCAAATTCAATGTAAAATTTGTTTGAAATTATTTTAATGCATGTATAATTCAGTTTTATGAGGATGTTATTAAAGATTTTTATTTACTTAACATTCAGGTTTGAATATGGTCGAATTTTACAGAACATGTAACCCCTCTCCTAATACTAGGAACTCCTCGAAATTTTTCATACTTAACATGAAAGAAAATGGCGAACAGGACTGTGAAAGACGCTCATTCCGTAAAAGGGACAAATCCACAGTATTTGGTCGAAAAAATAATAAGAACTCGCATTTACGAGTGTAGATACTGGAAGGAAGAATGTTTTGCTTTAACAGGTATTGATTTTCTGTCTCGAAATTATTATTTAAGAAAATGGAAAGAGATAATTCGGGACTCACAAAAAAACAAGCATATTTTGAAAGATACCACATACAAATATTCTCTTATCTCCCATACAGAGGAGTTACATTGCTACTTTTTTTCAATATTTCTTTCAATAAAAATCTTATTAGGAAATTAATTATATAAAAATGTAAACTAGACTCTTGAAAATGTTCCCTGAAACTTGATGGTAACAAAATATCATATATTTTTTTTTTAAACTTTTCAAAAAAATATATATATATATTGAACTGTAAAGTTACATTTTCTCATTTTCACCAAATCATGTGGCTTGGTCAAACATAAAGTTGTTAACCTAAACAGATATCATTAGAGAGGGCAGGCACCTATTAATTTTAAGAAAAGATGTTTGAATTTTGGAAGAAAAAATTGTTATATCCTTAAGGTATTTTTTTGTTCATGAAAGACATTATCAAATTTTTTAAGACATTTTCTAATTTTGAAAAAAATTTATTTACAGCGGAATTGCTTGTTGACAAGGCAATGGAATTGAAGTACATAGGAGGGGTATATGGAGGAAATGTCAAACCATCGCCGTTCCTCTGTTTAGTCCTGAAAATGCTGCAAATTCAACCAGAAAAAGACATAGTTGTGGAATTTATTAGGAATGAAAATTTCAAGTAAGACCCAAAATTATCCGTATCTATAAATCACAGAATCCCATAGGATTGGATGTGATGGGGGAGGGCACATTTAGTCGTGATAGTGTTCTAACAAGGCCTTAAAGCTCTCTAACTTTGGGACATGGACTACTTATTCTTCCAGAAGGTTCCAGTCTGTAGCAGTTTTGTTAAAGAAAGGGTTTTTTGTTTTCTATATGTAAATTTCTATTCCTGTGATACAAGAGGTAGACTTTGAGGCAAAATAAGGTTTCTTTACGGTTACCCAACTGACCCTAGGTATGTGTGCCAACCCAAATGCCTTTTTAATGTCTGTAAATGGAGTAAAAACTTTTCTATTTCAACATAATTTTATGAATAAAATAATATATCATTTGACAATAAGGTGTTAAAATACAATGTACTGAGTTATGTTTATTCCAGTGGTATTCTGAATGTTGTAGGTATGTCAGAGCACTTGGAGCATTCTACATGAGACTGACAGGAACAACATTAGATTGTTTCAAATACCTTGAACCTCTCTACTATGATTACAGAAAGCTAAAGATGCAAAACAGAGATGGAGGTATCATATCAAAATACTCAAAAAGCTCAGTGAATCGGATGTCTTGTTAGTCTTTCAGAAGATAGACAGATTTTTTTGCCCATGTAATCTTAGATTTGGAGGCATATGGTTTTTGGTCTGTTCCCTCTGTCCGTTTGTCTGCAAACCATGTATAGTATAATTGAAGACTTTAACATGTCCTTATTAGGTAACATTTCTGAGGAAATGTATCACTACACTTTATATCATATTTCCTATATCAGATTTTGGAGAGTAAAGTTCTACAGTTGTTTAGAAAACCTGCAGTTGAAATAACATTTGTCATTTCAGGATTTTATTTGATCCACATGGATGAGTTTATTGACAATTTATTGAGAGATGAACGTGTTTGTGACATCATTCTTCCCAGAATCCAGGTAAGAAACCAAGTATTTAATGAAGTTATGCATGATTGCTACTCTAAAATAACTTTAACTAGGGCTAATTGTAACGGGAACCATTACAGATGTTCCCCAAACGCTCCCCAACTCCCTTTTGGTGCCTTATTCCCTTTAAACATCATTAAATAAGGCAAACTCTATGCATTTTAGAATTTAACAACATTTTCCCCGAAGTTAACCAAGTATATTGGAAATTTTAGCATTACACGCGCGCGCACGTAAATGCATACGCATGATGACCATATCATCTTGTCTACAATATAAATATATTTTAATATACCGAGTATTAAAGCATTTAATCAAAAAGTAGAAAAAATATGGCTAAATCAAGTATATTGGTCATTTGAGCATTTGCACGCGCGCACATGTGCATGCATGTGCGTAATGACCATATCATTTTGACAACACTATTAATATATTTTAATATACTAAATATCAAAGCATTTAATCAAAAAGTATTAAAAAAATTCGGTAAATCAAGTGTATTTGTAATTTTCGCACTGCACACGCGTGCATATGCATGCATGTGCATGATGACCATACCATCCTGTAGGAATCCATAATGTCCATGTCTGTTCTAAATTTCAGCCTGTTTTGTTGAAAACCAGGAGAGTTATAGATATTTAAAGTTTAAGCCAATCAGATTGCAGCGCACGTGCATGCGCGTGTTTTCATGATAATTCTTCTATATCATATTGTAGAACATCCTAATGTGTGACTATGTTTAAAATTTCAAATCATTTTATCAAAAAACAAGAAAGATATTAAGATTTTTGTTTCAACCAATCAGAGCGAAGCGCACGTGCATACGCGTGAGTTCGTGCTAATTTGACAATGTCATCATGTCTACACTACTAATATATCCTTATGTTATGAGTTTCAAAGCATTTCATCAAAAAAGATAAAAGTTACGGCTATATTAATTACATTAGTCATTTCACTCATTGCACGTGCCCGCACGTGCATGCGTGTGCGCGCAAAATGACCTTCGTTCCGCACATCTACACAACATACCTATTAACCCTAAAAAGGTTTCAACTCAATTGGATGAGCAGTTTCCTAGAACACTCGCGGACAAAAAAGTACCGGAGAAGAAATAAGAAAAAGAAAGAATAATAATAATAGTAAGAAACAGAGTAAAAACAATATGTTCCCAAACTTCGTTTGGGGAACATAACTAATGGATTTATTCGACATCTTTATTATGTCAGACATTTTTTGTTCACTTTCTTATTTTTCAAATTTTTTTTGTTCACTTTCTTATTTTTCAATTTTTTTTTCTATAATTTCACATGTCCTCAAACTCAAATCATGTTAATCTGTCATATTAGACAACAGGAGTAGATCAGCATGCATGTTTAGGTCAGAGGCTAAAGTGCTAGTATGTACCCTGCTTATATTTCTTTGAAAGTCCTAGGAATGCAATTGCTTTAACCATAAGAAAATTTATGTATGATCCTTATGATGCTTTAAGATATGATTTAGTAAATGCAGATTCAATTGTAGTTAAACTGATTTTTTTATACATGCACATTTTATATAGAATTTCCTAATTTTGAACTTTTTAGATAAATAGCTACATGTGTAGTTTTGTTTAATTGTACCCCCGCTTGAAAAGTAGGGGGTATATAGTGATGGGTGTGTTCGTTCGTCCATTACGCTTTGGGGTACACATCTCTTATCAGCAACTCCTTTTATACCACTCAAAAAAATTTTCCACAGAATCTTTATTACATAGTGCCATTGGTCGCCCGTGTGGCGCAGTGGTTAGAGCTTTCGCTCTAGAGTCTCAGAAGAAGGAGTTGATCCTTACGTCGCGGGTTCAAATCCCACTGCGGGATGTAAAGACCAGTCCTTCGGATGAGACTGTATAAAACGAGGTCCCCTGTCGCAGTAGGTGCTGGCACAAAAAAGATCCCTCACTGCTCAATTGCCTTGAGTGCCGAGTATAGGTAAAAATTTTTAGCCCTCCACTGGCGTCTCCATATGAGTGAAAAATTCTCAAGAGGGATGTTGAACAACAAACATAGTGCCATTGTGCACCTCCTATTTTTACTTTTTGATTTGGACACATATTTTTTTGTTTCCAACAGCAAAACATAGACACTGCCATTCTTTCTATTATATTGAGGGGTACCCATCTCTTATCCACAACTCCTCTTGTACCACTCAATAAAATTTTATACTTTCACAGAATCTTTGTTACATAGTGCCATTATGCACCTCCTATTTCACTTTTTGATCGGACCCATATTTCGGGTCTCCCATAGCAAAACAAGGACCATTATAAACATATGGGAGGCGGGGGATATCGTTTCGTGAGCTCAGTGCTCACAGTACCTCTTGTTTTTTAATCTCATTCTGAATGTATCTCTTAAAATAGAAAAAGCAATAAAAAATACCCTACCGGTACACACATAACAGATACTGTTCATACAAGTGATTGCTGAGGTATATTTGTTACAGAAGCGCCACATTTTGGAGGAGAACAATGAGCTGGAGAGCCGGGTCAGTGCCCTTGATGAGGATCTAGAGGACATGGACACGGACGAAGAAGAGGCCATGGTATAATAATCACATTACAGTCTTTTTAAATGTGTGCACATTACGTAGGATACTCACTCTGTTTTTCCAGATACAAGTTACTATTCAACCTTAAACCTTACCCACTGTAACTGATTTACTAAACAGAATGTTCTGCAGTAAATAAGTTAGTTTTTTAAAGTATATTTTTGCTACAGGACCACAGAAAGAATACTGAAAGTTTGTTAAAATTGTTTATCCCATCATAGATACAAAACCATTAACAGCAAAACATTTCACAACATCTTTGAAATAAAATTATTAAGTAATAAGTGGATTCCTTGATTAAGACTTAGTTGATTACGTAGTGTTTTTTATGACCCAGGAAAGAAGTCCCTCTCCTGTTGACAGAAGACATGGAGATCGAGGGTCACCACCTAGGCACCGCCGCTCACCCTCACCCAGAAACAGGTATTTTCTAATACTGCTATTTACAGGAAAAATTGTTGGCACAAGTTGTTTGTTGTTCCTTATCTAAACTTTGAATTTTAATCATCCATTTATAGGGATAGGGACAGGAGGAAAAGGTCAAGGTCAAGAGATCGAGAAAAGAGGAAGAGGTCACCCACAGGTAAGATTTACTTCTATTCCCTTTGTGGCAGGAGCACTTTACTGGTACATGTACATTGCAAGAAATTTTGACTCATTACCACTACCGGTACTTTTCTGTTAGATTTCAGGTGTACATTACTGCTACATTAGATTAGTAATTTAGTATAGAATCAGTACTAGTTGAACGTCATGGCTTACCTTGAGCAGTTCGTTACAAATCTCAGCAATGCAGGTTTAATCATTGATGGTTAAATATTTTGTATGAATATGACTTTAAAAAAATTCTAAACTGTAGATACATGTATGTAGAAAAAAAGTAATGTATACATATAAATGCAACAGTAACATTTACTTTTTTGTAGCGGTAATTAGTTTATAGTGGAAATGACGATTATGAAAATGTAGCAGTAATGTAATGCACCCCCTTTTTCTGCATTTCACATACTTGTATAATATTAAAGATAGTTTTCAGTATTTTACTTACTTTTTTTTGCCATTTCAGATAAAAGACACAGAGATGAAGAGTAAGTGGTTTTGTTCAGTTAATCACAATGAAAATTTAAATAGTGCCCTGCAAGGACACAATTTTTTTTTCTTAATATTCTTTTATGCTGTTCAAATTTGATAAAGTGTATGGCATGATGTTATAACATGAAGGCATATTTTAGTAGTTTTCCAAATTTTATTCTGTACGTCATATGGATGGGATGATTGGGTAAACACCTTTGTTAGAGGCAAAGACATATGCATGTAACTTCTTGGGAAAAAAATCTTATTAAATACAAACTCAGTAGAAAAAGATAACTCTAACAAATCCATATTAAAGGAGTGATCATCTCTAGACCCTAATCTTTATTAGTCAAGATTAATTAAAGATTAATGAACACCCCTGCCAGCAAGTGAAGTCTGTTGAACAGAATATGCCTGTGTGATGTTTTCATTCAGGCCTAGATAAATAAATGTGTTTCCTATTCCAGAGTGGAAAAAAATAGGGTAGGTACATGTAGGTAGGAAAAACATCCTTTTTTTTATACATTTCATTGCAGCCCGGAGGACCGGGCTGCTCTATACATATAAGTTTAAGTGTTGGTATATGAGGATTGAGGTGGGAGAAGTTATTCAGAATTAAAGGTTTTCTAAACATTAAAAAGATTGTTAATCAGAATGTTCTTTCCCTTTATAAATTACGAGATACACAATAATTTTACTTCCATAAAGTGAATCTGTAAAAATGTATATGTTTTTCATATTTAATATATAAAGTTGCTTATCATTTACTATCGAAAAAACGACAGGTCCCTTTTTTTAGAACATCGAATTTTACTTATCGCATAAAAACGTAAAAACGTACTTTACACAGTTCGTGTTTTATAATCTTAAAGTGAAAGACATTTTTGAAAATAGGTGATGCATGTGTCTGGTTTCAAATTATATTTTATGCAGCCAACATTTACTTGAGGAATTGATAAAGTTTAAAAGGGTATCGTTTTTGTTCGATTTTCATCCGACTATAAGTTTTCAAAATAGTCTCTACTATCGTCTCCATCATTTAGACGCATGCCTTTTTCACACATATCGAAGCGGTTTGATGATCAAGACTCATTTCCATTGTTTACTTTATTTATTTCCCGGGCGACAATTGATGGTTACATCAATGTTTTCTTGTTGTTTAACTGTGAAGATAAACAATATTTTATATGAGAAACAATGTTCACTTCTTTTCCCCAAACGAACAGCTTATGGGGCCTCTTTCCCGGGGAAGTTGCTGATGATTATAGGATATGTTTTTCAAAACACAGAAAAAGACCCGAGATAAGAATTTCTAATTACATGTATAATAATAATAAAGAAGTATACGTCAGAAAAATTTTCCAGGTGGGCTCATATGATCAAGAGTCGGTTGGGGAACCGGAAACACACAATTTATTAGGGCCCCGCAAGGATTTGCGGGTGCCCTATAGTAATTACTCTGTCTGTCTGTCCAGCTGTCTAGCTGTCTGTCTGTCATTCTTCCGTCCACAAATTTTCTGTTTTTTTCTAATAACTTTTTTTGTAGTTGACCAATTAAGTTCAAATTTGGTATGTTGGTTGAAGAGGCAGTAAGACATATTTTGATGCTAAGTTTGGTTCTCTATGTCATCCAGTTTGGAGCTGGGGTGGTGGGGTAGATTCCTTAACTTTACATTAGAATGAATGCCAGAGCAAAGAGAGATAACTGCTGAGAATATTCCTATTGTAAACTGTGAAAGCTGCAACTAGTCCCATGGGATTAATTAACTTTCCTCTTGAAGAAAATCCAAAGCATTATCTGTTTCTGTCAAATTGAGATTAATTAACACCTCTGTCTGCAAATGAAGTTTGTTTTGAAGTTAAGGTCAATTCTGAAAGATGTTTACATGTTCTGAAATGTGGATTTAAATAATATTCATACTTTATTTTGGTAAAATACACAATGAGTTATGATTTCATTGAACTAAAAACAAGATCTACATAAAGATATGGGGTTTTTTTTTTTTTAATTTGTTTTTATTTATTTATTTATTACATTTTTTTTTTTTTTTGCTGCTGTATGTAAATTCAAGAATACTATGAATTTTATCACATAGTCTGATAATAAACTCATTCTATCATTACTGAAAAAGTTCTTATAGTAAACTTGGAAGAAAAGGATGAGAGAGCAGTACAATTAACCCCCTGGGATTAATTATCATGTTTGGGGCAGAAAATTTTCCAGGCTTATTTTTATTTGTCACTTTAAGATAAATTAACCTTTGTCTGCAACTGATGTTTGTTTTGAAGTTAAGGTCAAGCCTTGGTGATATTTGCATTCACTGAAGGCTGGCATTTTAAAAAACACATGCTTTATTCTTGTTTAAATATACATTTAATTGAGTTATTATAGATACATGTTACGTTATGTATGATGTTTTTTACTGCCTTAATATGTTAATACAGGGATACTCCTTACAGGTTGTTGGATATTTAGGAATTATCTTGAAATTTTATAAATACAGTTGTTATTGCATATTCTTCTTCATATTTCTTTTAATTTTTGTAATCAAAATTCTCATTCTGTAAGCTGCACCCTTATATTTCTCACCCCTCGGCGGGGCCCTTGCTGACTGGTCAGTTTTCTAGTTTATCTAGGCCTCACTGAATGCTGGTCTTCATATAATGCATGCATCAGTTATTGTATGCTCTATAATACTGTGATAGTTTGGGCCATGGATATCGGCCTGAATAGTGGTTAGAGCTGATTGAGCTACATGGTATCACAAATCACATCCTTACCCCTATGGCCAATCCAACTTTTAATTACCTGTATATTTCTGTCAGCAGGGCCCATGCTGACTAGTCAGTTTTCTACTTTTACCACAAATTTTTTAAAGTCCTGAAAGAAGCTATATTCTAAAATATCTATCTTTCATTATGTAATGTTTTTCAGTCGCAAGAAAAGCAAGAAGCATCGTCACGAGCACAAGAGCCGAGACAAAGATCGGGACCGAGAGAAACGTCACCATCGCAGTAGTCGTCATCACAAGGATGACAAGGACAGGGATAGAGAGAAAGATAAGGGTGGGTCCAGGTCTGAATCAAAGGCGGAACTTAGTGTAGCAGAGACCAATGAACTCAGAGCATCCCTGGGACTACCACCCCTGAAATAACATGGAGTTTGTTGCTTTATTGTCATCTTATGTGAATTCCGAGTACCATGTTTTGTGGAACAAAACTTTAAAAGAAAGCAAATCAACTTTTCAATGACATGGAACAATTTAATTTTTAACTACATGTATGAAATATTAAACTTCAAAGTTTTTTTTTTAATTGAAATAAAACAAACATCAAAATAATGAGAAACAATGTTTATCTTGCTTAATTCATTAATATCAGTAACAAAAATGAAATGATTGCAAGATGTAGCGTTGTTAGATGCTCTTCAAATATCAACAACCATATCATAACAACTGATCACAAAAATACCAAACCTTTTGGCCGAGTGTGTCAATACAGGTGCTCTACATTGGCACAATTACACTTGTACATTTTAAATTACATGAGGGTGAATGCCAATAATTATATATTATGGTAGCAAGACCAAGAATGCTACTATAACTACACCAATATGTTAATTTAACAAAAGTTAAATTTTGTGTCCAAGGAAAAATGTTTTTTAAACACATCAAACTTCTCCTTGTCAGTTCTGATATAAAAATGATAAATAAATTCTTTGTAAGGGGCTCCAATGGTTCACAATATTTTGAGCTCATCTTAAAATTGTTCCATTGACAGAAGCTGATTGGCACAAAGTACACGTGCTGTTGGGGGGTAACTTTCCATTCAGAGTAATGTTTTCAGTTACACTGAGGAAAGCTGAGCATGATTTGTCAGTTACACTGAGACAGAGGGTAAGTCAAACAAGTAACCTTGGTGTGTTAGGATACAGAACTTGGAGGAGGCTGATGTAATTTTTTGAGTTCCTGTTTTAGGTTTTGTGCCATTCTTTCTAGTCTCTTATTACCATGCTTCTTCACCCAACCATCTACTTCCTGAAATGACATATACAGACTTCATTACTTTGTTACATGTATATACATACTACATGTACAAGTATTTCCAAGTCTGGAAAGGGTATTCTGAACTAAATCTCAGTTATGTGTACCTCAAGAATCCTTTGTTTTTTCCAGTAGAAATGATTTTTTATGACATCTGCAAACTCTGGTGGTGGATACTGAAGCTGGCTGATCATTGCATACTTTATATTATTGTAACACACATCTGCAGATATACAAATGTTTTATTTCAAAATCTAACAAAACCTTTAACATAACATGATAAAGAATCATGCACAGTCCTATATCAGTAAACTTATGTTTTCTTTTTACCTACCTTCATTATAATCATCACTGTGCTTCTTCCCAGCATCAGTTCCAATCTCCTGTTCAAATCCAGGCTCATTAAAATACGGATCAGGGACTAGGATTAAGGACTGGATTGAGACAAGCACCTGTCAGATACAAAAAAAAAAAGAAATTAGAAATAATTTTGTTTATTTAAACCATGGTGAATAGAATATATACTGAACATTATAATAGTGGACCTTGTAGTCTGTAAACACTGAAGTTTTTTTTTTTTTTTTTTGATGGGGCAAGTCAATACCTGTAATAGAGTGGAGGTCTTTTCATTCCACTGCTCCCCCTTCTGTCCCTCCCAGGTACCCAGTAAGGACAGGCACACTTTACCACACCTGTTGAAAGAAGAAATTGGAAATATGCAGATGAATGAGCACAGTCTTCTGAGAAGGCCATTTTGCAGTAAGATACCTGAGTTACATTATACATGTACATACTTGTGACGCTACTCATTTCTTCTGAGTGAAAAATTGGGGGATTTATTTATCTTTAGATAAAGTCATGGGACATAATTACATGTACACTGTATGTACCAGTAAAGGAAATATTCTTAAAAATTGCTGATGTGGCACGTAATAAGAAAAACAAGATCAAAATGGATAAGTGTGAAAATAAAACATACGCATACAAGTTGGGATTGAATCGAACTTTGCCCCCTCCTGTGGTCTGTAGGTTGACATGGGGTGGGATTTGAGGATACATGTGAGGGAAATGAATGTCAAATATAAAACAACCTCCAGAATATGGTGTACCTTCAGGTCTGAAAGAGAAAGTTGGTTTTCTTTCATTGGAAAAATAAAAATATTAGAAGAGAGTATGGAAGGGAAATACATTTCCAAACAGAAAAACGGTCAATACTGCTAAGAACCTACCCTGTAATTAATGCTTTCATCAAAGTTAATTTGTCATCATCCTAAAAAGGAGAGGAGATCATGTTCAGGGAAAATCATCGAATATTAATGTGTTTTCATATTATTCCATCATCAATACATCAGATATTTTCCTGTAATACTCACAGTTCTGACAAATATACTAGAAGATAATTCCAAAGGAAGAGAGGTGGAAAGAGAAGATAACTCTTGGGCAATCCGCAACACCTGTTAAAGAGAAGAAAAGGACTCAAGCATTGCTTTATTTTTGATAAACAAAACTTTATCTTGTTATGATTCATGTGTGACTACTTATCAGTATGTATTATCTTCTGATTTTTACAAAGTTCAAACAAATGTTTTTTTGTGAATAAAATGACAAAAAGAAGATCAAAATATCTATATTTTCTAACCTGTTTCTGTAAGACATTTTGTGTGTGCTTGAAGTCTGATGCATAGTTGTGACAGCTTGTGCCCTCCACTGGAAAAGAGGAAAATGTGATTTTAGAAATTAAACATGATTTATCTGGTACTAAGAATAAAAATAACAGAGAGAGAATATTACTTACAAGAAAACGATGCTGTTGCCAACTGTAGAGGCTGCAATGCTCGTTTATATTGAACTTCAACAACTTGTGCCTGCTAAAATGTATAAAAAAACATTAAGTTTGCATAGACAAAAGAGAATATTCAACTAGTTGAAAACTGAGAATACATCTTAGTATACAATGTTCATGAGCATGAAAAATGCGATACAATTGAACTTCTGTATCTTGAACACCGATATCTCGAATACCATGGATATGTCGGAGGGATTTTGAAGTCCAAACACTAATTTCTTGAGTATTTTACCCTGGATATCTCAAATCCTCAAATATCTCGAAGTATTTTCTCAGTTCTATCAAGTTTAAGATTATGAGGCTTGACTCAGCTTTTCTCCCTTCAGTTGCAACCATAATGTTTACTGTAAACATGTATTCCTTGTATTTACATGTGCTTTACATCACAAATCAGGAAAAGTAAAGTAGCTTTACTTGTTCATAGTGGTCTCCCTTTAATTGAGGGTTTTTTTCTTGATTATTCATCATTTTTTATTTAATTTAGTTTTTCCCTATTCTGTTGTGACCTTGTCTTGTTCAGGGGAGCCATTACCTGTTCAGATGAAACTTCTTCTTGTTTAGGGGAATTTTTGTCACTCTCTAGTGATGATTGACTAGATGTTGAAGAGCTGTTTGATAATAATCCATCCAATTCCAGCATACCTACACAACAGATTGTTAACATTTAAATATACTTAAAACCAGTCCATTTTTTATTCATAGAATATAAATTGAATTACTTTTTTATTACAAAAAAATAGGCTACTTACCCTTTACCAGATTAAAGAGAACTGCAAATTCTCTGTAAAAAAAAAAAATTAAATACAGTATTAAAAAAAACCAAAAACATGATTTTCTTGATGTCATATTCACAAAATGGTAAATCTCTGCGTAATAACATTTTTATCATTAATGCTGATACCTAGCCAATTTTTCTTCAGCCATTTCTGACTCTGAAGATGGAGGGGAACTAAGCGTGCTAGGTGAACTTCGACATCTGGTGAAACATTTGGGAAACAAATTGAAAGAACTGGTGGTAGTCTCGGTCTCTGTGGGTTTGGGAGGCTGTGCCTTTGGTACGCTTCCGTTCCCAGCTTTGTTCAGGTGCCGCAGCATGATTGAAGCACGCTGCTCCAGCTGGGACAACAGCTGATAAATAGACATCTCCTGATTGGGTAATGCACACAACAAGGGCAGAAACTGTCTCTGGCGTGCTGAAATGTTGTGTAATCTGTAGTCCAACATAACTCAATGTGTTTGAAATAGTTACCACTATTTCATAAAGTTTTGGATAATTATAGAGTTTGGAATTTAATTTTTTTAACTAGAACTTTTTTTTTATTTAAAGTGAATAAAAAAAAAATGCACTTTAAATTGAGTGTACAGTAAAACTTATCCATTCCAGATGGTACGTATTCTGAAATCTTGCTTAATATGATGAAAATTTTAGTTCCTTTCAGTATATCTAATTGCTTAAAATGTTGTCTAATCCAGATGTTGTGTAATCTGGCTAAATTCTATGGAACCAGTGGTGTTCAGAGTAGACAAGTTTCACTGTACTTCTATACTTACCTAATTCTTTTACAATATCTACTATAACTTTATACACCTGAAAAAAAAGTAATAAATGTAAGTGCATGTATCTCATCATCATCTTTACTGTAGCTTTCTTTACATTATTATCTTTGAACGTGCACACAAACCTCTGAATGCCTGCAAATCTCTAAGAATGAATCTGCCATTAGATATTGCTGTAAAAAGGGGAGAAAGTATAAGTAACCCATTTAAATTGTTTAAATTTAATCTGTTGTCAAATGAGCATATAGATTCTTTTCAATATTGTTGACATAATTCAAAGAGTACCTCAATGAATGGTATAAGGGCAGATCCTTCTAGAACGGTGTACATATCATAAACTGGATCCACTCCTTGTCCTGTGTCTTGGATCCCTGGGTCTTTCAAACTATCTCGGGGACGAGGCTTCAACTGTGGTGCATGCTGGGAGTACAATAACTTTAACTCTTCTAGAATTTGGTGAAGTACACTCTCAATCTAAAGACAAAATATATTTCAATATACAGTGTATCTGTAGAAAATCTGAATATAATGCAAAAACAAGTTTCAAGACCACAATCAGCTTGCAAAGCACAAGAATTAAACCCACATATGAAGTTTATATTTCATATACAGGTATCTCCATATCTGGGGAAGATGATATAATACATGTACTGGTAATTAACACATTACCATACCTTATTATCCTTTTCCTTCTGGGCAGCAAGATAAGCATTTATATCCCACTCTGAAAAAAATACATAAATTTTTCTTTCCACTGAAATAAAATTACTTGTACATGTATTACAAAATAAAATTACAAAGATCATGAAATGTTACAGTTTAAACTTTTTCCTGAAAAGTATATATATATGTAAATGTACAGTAATGCATGTACGATGTTGCCTGTCAATAAAAATAACATTTGAGGTGAATATTTTACCTGGTCTATTGTGATGGCCATATCCTGTACCTCTTGCCCAGTACTCCCTACTGAATTCTTGTCTTGTCTTACTCTGTCAGAAAACATAACATAAATGAACTATTAGGCTTAATAAGCACATATCAGCACAGGTTGCAAGTATATATAACACAAGTTCAGTTTCAGTAAATAAAGCACATGGTAAGTGTTAGTAAAAGCAGCACATATTTTTCTTTAAGTATGGGTACCTGGTTTGTAAATAAAGTTCAGGTTCATTTTCAGAAAAAAAATTACATGAATAAACTTTTAGAGTTGACTTTCTTAAATCTGCTCATCTCTCACATATACAGAATGTAATACCCTTTTCAACCATAGAAGCCTTTTTCTGGACTTACTGGTGTAGGTAGAGACTTGATGGCTGCCATTTTGTCTACATCCATCTGAAATCTCAAATTCACTCGAGGAACAACTTCACTGACCTAAAACATATCAATGTCTTCTATATCTAAAGTTCATGTGCTTGAATGAATTCATAGTACAACATTAAATTACATTAATTAACTTTTTTTTTAAATTAAAAATCACATGATTAGTTGTTAAATCGTATATGTATATACATGTACATGTGTAGAACCTAGAACGATGTATCATAGCTTGAAATTTCTCGTGATACAATTCAAATTCTTGTAATTTTTAGCATCTTATCCTCATCAAGCAGTAGCCAGTTGGATCCTCCCCCCAGAACTTTTGACATACCAGAGCTAGAGTAAGCAGGTGATGTTCCATCTCTAGGTAAGCCCCATGAGGATATTTCTGTACATCATTTCTCTCACTTTCTACCTCCAGTCTACATTATACAAAAGAGGAACTCATAATGAAACAAGCTCAAAATCTGAAGTGTAAAGTACTTATAAAGACACAATGTTCCATACAACAAAGTTAAGACATAGATCTTGGAGATGGATACCAATTTTTATTTTTGTTACATGTATTTATGGTGCTCATGATCAGAATGAATGTTTCTTTATGAGTCATATTTTGTCTCTAGGGTGTAAAATTTTATGAAATATTTTAACCAAATTACAACTGTGTGTATAATAATAATAGACAATTTCATTGTCCCTGGAGTATCACTGTCGCTGATTAACTGTACGTCTAGCAATGTTTATAAATACACCAAAAATATGTCAGATAACTTAGTGTTACTCGTACAGTCACATGTTTTGTTAGCATGCTGTACCTTGCCCACTGTTGTAAGAAAGACTTGATTTCCAGTATAACGCTCTGCATGTCTTTGGTTGGGGACCAGTAGGACAGTTTTAACAGCTCCATGTTGGTCACTCTCTGCATCATAAAGCCCTAAAAATGCCATCACAATCACTCAATGCTCCCATTTTAAAATGCAAAAACACTGATCAATGCATTCATCCCCAACATAAATCTAGTTTAGCTACTAAAATTCAAACAATTACTTCTAAACATAATTTTTTCTATCTGAATTTGTGTCCTCTTTCTTTTTTTTTTTTTTTAAGAAATGTTTTGCTAGACATGAATGTACCAACAAGTTACATTTTGTATGTAGGCATACCAGTGTTTACTGATAAAAAAAAAATAATAAAATGAAACAGGTGAGATGAGTCAATATTAATGTACGCTGACTTGTAGAATGACTTACTTGAAGTCTTGGTCTCATGACTTTTACAAGTGGTGGATAAAATGGATAAAGATCAATCTGGAACATCTGAAAAACAAAGTAAGTGACAGCATGTCCTCATCATTGTTCATCTACAGGTTTATAATCTAGTATCAACCAAAACTTCAGTCTTTCCTTCAAAATCATGACCTTAAATCTGTAGATTTATGCTGAATAGAAAATGCACCTTAAGTTGACTTCAGTACAGATAGTGCCATTTTAAATTGTTATTGTATCAAAAAGCCATTTATCTTTTATTTTAAAATACTTCGGTGGAGATTTAGAGAAAATTTTGTTTTGACAACTTTTGAGGAACTGAATTTATTCAGAGAAATCCATGAAGTTTTAATAATACAACCTGAAGTCTGTTTTCATCTAGATATACAGTATATACTGGGTAGTATCTCAACAGTGCACAGTAAACTTACCATTTCAAGTTCAATGTAGTTATATCCAAAGTTCTTCTCAATAACACTCAAATCTTGACTCAGCTCACTAGTAGAATACATGTGTATATAAAAGTATTTCATCAAATCATAAATATTAATCCATCTGTATGTATGTGAAGACAATTATTATTTATTCATACTGACCTTTTGGGGTCAAAGTTAAATATCTTGACCTGCCAGTGATATATGTTATCATCTATAGGTTCAGCTGTGAATCCAATTTGCTACAATGAGAATATCATAACAGTTCTGACTTCAAGCTTTAATCTGTTTTATGACAAACAAAACATGTTTAAAAAGAGATCATAAATATAACAAAGTCATTTTCTCTCAAGCATGCACTAATCAAAATGCCTTGTAAAATCAAATGCATGTACAGTAAAACCTTTCTAATCTGGACACCAATGGTTCCATATAAATTGGCAGGATTAGAAAACATTCCAAATTAGATAACATTTAAAACAACTGAATTTACTAAAAGGGACTTAAATTTAACATCATATTAGGCAAGACTTCAGAATACACAAGATTCAGGTTAGACAAGATTCACTGTAGTACACATTCTATTTATCAGTAAGTCAAATAATTCCCTGCAAGTCCCTGCAGACTGAGAGGATGCAACTTTTCTGACAAATTTTTCCACAGTTAATTTATTAATTTATATAAATATATGAATTTATATATTCTATAAATTCAATTTTTAAAGTTGTTTAACCTTTTCATTTTCCATGATTCTGACAAGGTCATTAGTAAGAATTCCTGCAGCTCCAGAACTGGTAAACACTGGGGTGACAGAAGGGGTGGCAGCAACTGTAACAGGACAGTCAAAAATATAGGAGTCACTGCAATAATATATACATGAGCATAAAAAAATAGACTACTTGGTAACATTTATTTCTTTTAACTCTTTTACCTGCTCCTAAGGGGTGGGGATCACTTGTCATTTTTAAAGATTCCCTTAGTTGGGCCTCTTTTTGTGCCCATCGTTTCTGTTTAAAGATAAAAGTGTAAGTATATATTCATTTTTATTATCTCAACATAACATAATAAATCTGAGTTACTACTGATCTAAAATATATGTACATGTACCTTTTTGCGAGCAACTTTCAATTCCCATTCTGTCGTAAATGCATCATCATCAGCTAATATGATTGTCTGCAAAAAAAAAGAGTCTGCATAAATTTCAGATTTTACAAACCCAAATTGCACATGGTAAGTTCTGTTTGCATTGTTTATCCCCTAGCAAAGACAGTACACGGTTTGTGTGGGTGCGACTAAATTGTTTCCTAGACTTCTACAAATGACTTAGGGAAATGACTTCAATACTTCAAAGACACATAAAAATAAATGGAATTTTTTCATCATCAGACATCAGTTTCCAAGCAAAAACAACAATGATCATTTAATATTGTGTAATCACCGACTTTTTTGAATGTGTGTAATAGATGTATATCTTTGAATGATAAACAAGCATACCAATCAAATCTACATGTACATTTCATTCTCCTTCAGCAAATACTAAAATAAACTACAACATTTTTTTCATTTTTCATTACTATGAAAGCATTCCCTTCATGAGGTATTTATTTTCAATGCTCATGATATTCAATCTGATGACACATTTTAATACATTGTGTTCACTTTTTACTAATGGGATGTTTTTTTTCATTTTGACATGTGACTTTCCATATTAGGGCATGACTGAATCTGACCTCTTGCTCCTCCCCTTCATCCTCTTCCTCCTCTTCAGACATTGGCTCCATCTCCTCATCACTAAGCTCCTCCTACAGAATAACAATGACAGCCTTATACTAACTTGGCAGTAGAAATCACTGACAGTTTCATTATATGCCATTCAAAATTATAAGGTTATCTGTTCTTTAATAGAACAAATACTGTGGATTCCTAAATATATGCAAGGAATTACATGTACATGTAATTATCACATACTCTCAAAAGAAACGTCACTTTTATATTTATATTGCTGAAATACATGTAAAAACTCTTGATCAACAGTCCATGTGTGAATTCATATTCTCTTGATTTGATTTCTATGAGTTATTTGACTCATTTCATGATATTAAGTACTTGCCTTAAACAAGTAATCTACAATATATCACTTAAAAAAAATGTCATATACACAGTGACCATAAAATGCACATACCGGTACTATTTTAACACAAACAATATTTTTTTATCTACATTTTGTGCGCACTTGCCTCTGAGGTTGAAGGACTTTTTTGGGATTTCTGATGAGTGTATAAAGCAACAGCTCTGAAGGAAAAAAACACAATCATACATGTATCTATAGTGAATAAATATGTGCCCTGTGTAAATATTACCCTTAACTACATGTTTGTGCAATTAAAAAAATAAATATGTTCATAGGACACGAATGTCCTGCCCATGGCAAGGAACGTGAAAAGATATGTACCATCCTTCTATGGTAAGAGATAATGCTAAAAATCATGAAAATAGGAATAATTTTTGCATTTTTTTTTATATAAAGAACTTTGTTAACTGCAAAATGAAATAAATGATGTGGGGTCAAGGTGACTGAAAAGGCCAATTTAACTCTGTACACAGTTTGAATAAAATATCTTTTAAAAAAGAAGTAAAGGTTAAAGGGAAGGTCAAGGTCAGAAAATTATGATACAGTTGTAAAGTTTTCACCAAACTGTATTAATGTATGAAGTTTGATGACAATATTATGAACAATTTCTTCTTTACTTTGCTAAATGCAAAACAAATAATAATGAGGTCAAGGTCATATAGAAAGTAAAGAAAAATCTGGAACAATTACTTAAAAACTTAAATGCCGAAAAGGAATAGTGGAATCAAGGTCACAGGGAAGGTCAAGGTAAGAAAAAAATGACACACTTGTAAAGCTCTCACAAACATGTATCAGTATAAGAGTTTGATAAAAATATCTTCAATAATTGTTTTAAAACTGAGATAATACACAACAGGAAAATAGTGAGATTAAGGTTATAAGGATGGTCAAATTCAGAAATTAATGACACTGTTGAATAGCTTTCATTACTTTGTATCTTTTTCATGATTTTCGATTAAAATATCAACAAGAAGCCCATGGGCCACAACCCTCACCTGAGTTCACTAGGGCCCTGCTGTTCAATCCTATGTAAAACATTGATAACATACTGTGGTCCCACCCTATCAACAGAGTCAAGATTTGAACAAAATTTAATCTTCACTACCTGGGAATGCTTCCATATAAATATGACCAATCAGGGTCTTGCTCATAGTTCTTACAGTTCTCGAGAAGAAGATTTTTAAAGATTTTTCTTCTATATTTCAAGGTAAAAATTTCATCCCCTATTGTTACCCTACATAGCTATTCCAGTGGTCTTGATTTGAACAATTTAGAATCTACACTTCCTCGAAAAGCTTCCACATAAGTTTCACCTTTTCTAATTCAATGGTTCTTCATCAGAAGACTTTTATTAATTTTTCTTATATATTTCAGTGTCAAAATTTGATCTTTTATCGTGGCCCTACCTTACTCCAGGGGATCATTTTTGAACAATTTAGAGCCTACACTCCATCAGGAAACTTCCTAACAAGTTTCACCTTTTCTGGCCCTGTGGTTCTTAAGATTTTAAAATATTTTTCTAACATATTTCAATATAAAACTTTCATCTCTACTGTGATCCCACCCCAACCCAAAGGGTCATGATTTGAAAATTCAGAATTTATACTTCCTTATGAAGCTTCCACATGAGTTTTGCCTTTTCTGACCCAGTGGTTCATGAGAAGAAGATTTTTAAAATACTTTTCTTATATATTTCAATGTAAAAATTTCATCCCCTATGTGACCCCATCCTAATCCAGGGGGTCATGATTTGAACAATTTAGAATCTACTAGGGATGTCAAATCGGTCAATTTTTGATAATCGGCTACTTGGACGTTTTTCCAATCGAGTACCCGGGTACTCGGTAAAAATATAAATACAAGTGTGTTAATTTTCTTGAGCCCCGTTAAGCTATATTAAACTCCAAAGCTGTTTTATCATGTTTATAAATGTATTTAAACATTGAGTCCAACGGGGATGATTTTTTGGTACATGTACTATATTTATTTTTCAAATAAACACAAAAGACACAATTAATACATCAAAAATTAGAAAAAAATTGTTTACAGTTCTTCTTATCAACGCAATAGGAGGACAATCTGTTACGCAGGTTTGTGGTGGTTAGACTAGCGAAAGAGAAGGAACGGACGTTGTTGGGATCGCTAATCTAATATTATTTCATATGCTGGTTGTTTCCCCCGTATACACTAAACTTACTACGCAAACTGACTTTCAATATTTTTTGAATCTTTAATTATTTCTAAATATTTCTCAACTTTTGAAGTGGGTACTAGCATGTCCGATTTCGGTGCTGTATATTAACTTAATAATTTTAAAATGATTTGAAGATAATCGACCATATTTAAACGATGTTCACTGAAAACAAACATTGAAGCCATCCAAAAATTAAGGACCACAATAGGTGAGAACAGCTGTATACCAGGTGATTGGTCACTAATTAATGTATACACACTGCCACAGGCGATAAGGGGTGTTTCACAGGTGTAAATGACGACACGCTTATTAGCGTATGCATATTAAAGTTATTTTTTGGATAAGTTTTTGATAAAAATATGTACTTTGAAATAAGAAAAAATACACATCCAAGTAACCGAGTACCATTTTTAGTATTCGATACTCGGACGTTCGATTGAGTACCCGGTTAACCGGGTACTGGTTGACATCCCTAGAATCTACACTTCCTCAGGAAGTTTCTACATAAGTTTCACCTTTTCTGACCCAGTGGTTCTTGAGAAGATTTTTTTATTGACCCAACACTATTTTTGCCTTTTCTTGATTATCTCCTCTTGGAAGAGGGCTTGGCCCTTCTTTTGAACAATTTAAAATTTCCTTTCCCCATGGATGTTTTGTGTCAACTTTTGTTAAAAGTTGGCCTTGGGTTTTTGAGAAGAAGTCAAAAATGTGAAAAGTTTACAGACAGACAAAGTAAAAAGAAAATGAAACAGTTGTAAAGTTCTCACCAATATGTATTCATGTGCATGTATATATTTTTATAAAAATATCTTGAATAGTTAGTTTGAAACTTACCTTAACACAATATAGGGAAAAGTGAAATCAAGGTAACAGGGAAGGTCAGGGTCAGAAAATTATGACAGAAGTAAATAGCTCTCACCACTATGTATCAGTGTACCAATTTTCAATTTTTGGTTAACATATCTTGAACATTTTCTTTGAAAACGAGCTAAATGCAATGTGTAATGAAGGAACAAGGATTGGAAGGATTGAAAGACAGCCTGATCGAAGGATGGACGACGGACATGTCAAACACTATATACCCTGGCATAAAAAATACATATGTATCACTTTGATAACAAAGCATGTAACAAAGCATACTTGTTGAGAACATCTTCTAGTGAAAGGGGTTGTGTGGCTTCTTTCAAAATCTGAAAGAAAAAGAATTTTTTGTATAGGTACATTTATTTAAATTCTATAGACAGAATAAATGCTTCATCTAGATCCCTACCCCTCTATCCACCCGCTTGGAGATGGAAGACCTTTATAATAAGATCAAGAGGCCCATGGGCCACAATGCTCACCTGAGTCACTTATCCCCCTTCTGCTCTTTATCTGCAGATTTGTTTCCCTGTATATTCCAATGTAAAACCTTAAGTCACATATTTTGGACCCATCCTACCTCCAGGGGTCATGATTTAAACAAATTTGAATCTATAATACCTGAGGATGCTTTCATATAAAAATGACTTATAATCATTTAAAGATTTTTCTTATATATTCCTATGTAAAAATTTGATCACCCATTGTGGCCCCTCCCTACCCCTTGGGGTCATGATTTGAACAAATTTGAATCTACACTACCTGAGGATGCTTCCACATCAATATGACTAATCATGGTTTTGCTGTTCTTGAGAAGAAGATTTTTCCTATATACAAAGGTTTATCAAAAAGTTCGTGGACTGATGCGATAAAATTAATACTATGTAGTCGTTGATTACAAAATTTATAGGGAACATAAATCAACAAAAGTTTAAGAAGTATTGAAATTTCAGCTTGATATGTTTATAATTTGCCAAATTATCATTAAATAAAAAGGGCATTATATGATCACCCAGCGCTGTCGTCATTTAGTTTCATGAGGTCTGACAATGCTCATTATTTTCAATGCCCGTACTCTCTGCCTCAATATACTTATCTTGATGAGATTCTCTAGAGTAAAGTTAAGACCTAAACCCGTCTTGTTTATATGACTATACAATGTCATGAACACCTGATTTCAATGCATTAATATTGTAAATATTAAATCTATACAAAGGACAAGATCCTCGCTTGGTTTTGCCAGCATAATTTTCTTGGCAGAGTTCAATGTCAACCAATGATCAACGTCACTTTTCGACGTGACTGACTTTGGACACCCTGACAACAAATAGACATTAATCGTGTGTCTCTTTTCTTGCTGAATCGTTTTTGGTATTTAAAAACAAGTACTCTGGATGTATTTTATTTCTCTGTAGCCTATTTAAACATTTACTAGGTCTATGCCAGGTTTTCCAGGGGTTGAAACTTTACAGAATGTTGTAAAATGACACCCTACCCCCTTTCGACGTCATTTTTAACCCCTTTATTGTTTGGACATTGCATATAAAATTAACAATAAAATTACATGGAAAATACAGAATGAGGCAAAAATTGCAACTTTTACGGAAAATATGTGTCATATCACATGAGTGACTTAATGGGATTATAGAATGACAAATGCTCATATTAGAAGAGTTTTTCACATTACACTCGGGTAGAAAATACGTCATGTTCGACGTTGTGCCTCCTGGACATATCATTGCTTACAAAAACATTTACGATTCACTAAAAAATAAAACTTGTGATTCATAGTTTATTTTACAGATAGAAAAGAAGATACTTATTTAATGTTTAAAAATTCATTGATGCATCTCAAGCGGTTTTAATTTTATGACGCTAGTCCAAGAACTTTTTGATAACCCCTCGTATTTCTATGTAAAACTTTGATCTCCCATTGTGGCCCCACACTACTCCCTAGAGTCATTGTTTGAACAATTTTGAATCTACACTATGTCAGAATGGTTTTTTTTGTAAGTTTCATCTTCTCTAAACCAGTGGTTCTTGAGAAAAAGATTTTAAATGATCACACCCAATTTTCACTATTTCTTTATTATCTCCCCTTGGAGGAGGGTGTGACCCTTCATTTGAAAGAAAAAAAACTTGAATCCCATTCACTCAATGAGTCTCTGTGCCAAGTTTGGTTGATATCTGCGCAGTGGTTCTGGAGAAGAAGAAGACTGAAAATGTTTAATACATTAACAGACAATGGACAAATTCTTATCAAGTTTTGGCTCAAGTGAGCTTATACATGTGTATTTAGAAATAGTAGACTTATTAATGATGAAAATAGAAGACCTTAATAAGAAAATCCTACAGAAAAATTAAAACATCTTACACTGAATGGAAGATCTTTATTCCTTTGATAAATCAAGTAGTGGTAGACTATTGATCCTTTTACTCTGCTATATTCTATTTTTTTATAAGTTTAAAGTATAAACTAATACCTCGTTTAGACTTCTGCTCCATGCACTTATAAGAGAATCAGCCTCAACATAAAAAGCTGTCTCACCCTCTGGGTAATCTAAAACACAAAGACAACATCCTTCACTCATTCAGCATAAAATACAATGTCATTTTAAAAATTATATATTTGTACACAAAAGCAATTACTTGGCTGGGCAGAGATTTCCTTGAAGCAAGTTGTATCAATGACTGCTTCATATCCTGCTAAGAAGAAATTAAAATGTCTCTTAAAATATCACTTACTTGTTGGTACATGAAGTTTGAATTCATGTTCACTTGCAAGTAGCAACACTAGGACAACACAGCCATTTCGATCGGTATTATTCTACAAAAGAAGAGAGTGATATAATATGAAACAATAAACTTCTGTGGCTTGTGAATGTTAAAGTCGACAAATTTTCTTGCATCTGTAAAATCAAATAGAATTTTAACTACAGTCAAACCTCGTTATCTCAAATACTATGGGACCAAGAAAAAAACTTTGAGATATCCAAGGATTCAAGATATCCAGGGTAAAATGCTTAAAGAATAAGGGGTTGGGACCGTCAAATCACTTTGGTATTTACATGATATTTGAGATATCAGTGTTTGAGATACCAAAGTTTAACTGTAATTCTACAAGGAAGATAAATAGATTAATAATTTTTAGGGATGTCAAAATATTTATTTTCTGTAGTCGAATATATTCGAAACTTTTTTGGAAACTAAAATCTTATTTCAAACTTCACTGGTACATGACATATTTAACCCGAAGTCCCCTTTTCTTAAAATTATTAAAAAGTAACATCAAATGTTACACACAAATGTTTACAAGGACCTAAAATGTATGATTTCCCAGTCAATCATGTTCATAAATTGATCCGTAAAGTCGTTTTTTTTAGGAAGCATAAAAAATGACAGTATGATATATTATTTTAAAGGTTATTAAAATTATGGGGGGGGGGGCACACACAGTAAATTTGTGATAATGTTGTATTCTTAAATATTTGAATATACTTTTTGTACCAACTATCAAAATGTCTTTAAAATACATAAAAGAATATTAATTTTATAATAATTATCTTAGTGTCAAAACATGTCATGACTATAATGGGTACATGGTATGAGATCAAGTCCCAATTCATAATTTTACAAAGAAAGCGCAGTGTAACGAGATAATTCTATTACAAATTAAAACAACACATTAATTGACAAATAATACTCGCAGAAATGAAGCATTTCTAATTACTGTACTTTCTACATATAAAACCAGCAGTTTTTAATGAGGAAAATTATCTTATTGACTGTGTCTGAGGAAAGACGGCCGGTTTCTCAATTTTAGGATGAGAATTCTATCTCTTTATCACTCTTTTATTGAAATTTATTTATTCGAATGTCGATCGTTTCATTATTCGATCGTCGGTCCATTCGACTGATGGTCGAATAGTCGACTATTCGTTGACATCCCTAATAATTTTTGGTCTCACTTTGTCTGTCCATCTGTCCATTTGTCTGTTAATCTGTTTGTCTGCAAAAAAATTTAACCAATTTCATGTGGTTTCTTTGTAAAAATTTAAGACCATTGACAAATTTTGATTTAAGTCTAAGACTATTTCATACTTCCTTGGGCCCAGATACAAGTACCTATATTTTCCGATCCTTAATATAGTCACAGACTATATTTCTAGACATATATGTTCATGTTGACTTATAACGAGAATCACAATGAATTAGTTATTTTTGATCAGTTGTCTTTACCTTCCAGTGCATCTATTGCATCTACACAAACAAAAGGGACACACTAGACAGAACATTCTATCGTTAAAATTATATTGTCCTATGGACCTGGTTTAACGATAGAATTTGTTTCGGGTGTTGTCAATGTAGCAAAATAAACAAGGGAACATAATCATGATAATTCCAACCTAATCATTTACTATGAATATGAATACCATGAATAATCCAGAGAGTTCCAAATATCAACATGGCATGTTAATTCAAAGCAAGAAAAAAATGTTGAGGAATGAGTTGAATTTTTGTCTTTATATGGATTATTTTTTTAGGGTAAAAGGCATACATATACAAGCTCGAAAAGGTTTGTTATGATTAACTTCATAGTTATTTTCAGTGTAACTTTTTCTGTGTACTTCAAAATTGTTTCTGAGCGACCTGCTCCAATTAGCTACTATATGAGATGTATTCTGTGTTGAGGACATGTCTTCCTCCGATCCCAGAGCTGTTGAACTATGCAAATAAATAAATTCGGATAAAAACAATGATTTGTTGAAAAGCAAAAAAGAATAGGATATCGTGTATATATTTATTTAAATGTCCAGGTCGTCTCTTTTTCACCTGTCATTTCCAGTCCACGGTCACAGGAGACAGCAGTTACAGATATAGTAATTTGTATATAATTTCCTTCTAGATTGTACAAGAAATTCCTTTGCTAGCAACATTTGAATATTACTACCTGTAACTCAATACTTCATACGGTTTACACTTTTACGAGTTGTATTAGTGAGATGAAATGAGGCAAGAAATTATGAGATTACCTCTAACAAGTAAATCAGGTCTGAATTATCCCTCTCTTGCCATTTTTCGAAGTCTCTATTTAAATGTTCAATGATATCACTATTGGAGTCTGCTGTCATATCCATTTTCTTGTATGTTTTTATTCTGCTTACTAAGCTTTGACTTTTTTTACAACCGGAAGTTGTAATATTTATTAGTACTTCTTTAACCTCTATGTTCGAAGAGCAACACAAAGGGAAATAACTCTCACTCCCTCTCTCTCTCACTCTCTCTCTCTGATCCACACATATAGCTTATTTAAATTAGAACATTGTTTTGAAACATATTTGATTTTTGAGAAAAGTTTTATGTAAATTTAGATTTATGAATCGGGGTGTTGACAGAGATGATCGAATTTGTGATCTTTGTTCCTCCAACATATTTAGGAGACGAATTCCACTATCTTTTAGAATGTGCTTTTTTCAAAGAGAACGAACAAAACTTGTTCAAAATATTTTTATGCTAACCCTAATGTTATTAAATTTCATGACCTGTTAAATTGTAAGGACGCTTAAGTCATTTTTGGACTTGCCAAATTTTGCAAAATTTTATTGTCTGACAGTAATAAATTAACAATAATAAAACTACTGTTTAAAATATGTTGTAATACATGTACATATAGATTTATTTAATACTAGCCATTGCTAGCAGAGGCCTTCTACACTTTGATGTTTTGAACTATACATGTACATAGTAATTAACATTAGTGCCACTCATTCATGTCATTTTGTTGTATCAATGGGGTCTTTGTCTTAAATAAAAACTTGAAACTTGAAACACACAATATCTTTTTATGATTTGATGAATACTTATGAAATATATAAACTGATAGATTTAGCAAAGTTTTATAAAGCTGTTCTTAAATCATTTCATACTTGAACTTCCTTCGACATAAACATTATTTTCAACAACTGTCAGTACTAGATCTTTTTGTTTTCTTGCTCATTACACCATGTACACCCCCAGTTTCTTTCATATTTCATTAGAGCTTCACTTATTATGTAGATTTCAAATTTGAAAGTGATTTTTAATTATTTTTCTGATTTTGGTTAAATGTTTTATTTCAAGTTTGTAAACAATAGAATTGCAGAAGTCACCGTGTCAAGTGATTGAATATCTTCCTCAGACATCAAGGCCATAACATCCATTAGGGCAAGTGAGACAAAAACGCTTCAATAAAATTTTTGCTTTTAGGTATAAAATAAAAACAAAAGCACTATTTTGCACAAATTACAGTATTTGTGTTTTTGTAATTGATAAATTATTTCAAAAAATATTTGCCATAATTTCTGCACTAAGATTGGATGAGGCTTTATATTGGTCGGTCTTGTTACCTGGTTACAATTTATTTATTCATTGGTTGTAAAGGGGGGGGGGGGGCACTGCATTTTAAGACACGATTTATCTAAGACCAGATTTCATTTTGTCTTGCATAATTTATTTGCATAATTTATATGTTTATATCAAAATTATGTTCAGTTTTTTACGGTTTTGAAATATGCACACGATTGCAAAAGAAAAAAATATACTTCATTAACAGGTATATAATTCTAGTTGTAAGCGCAGTTCAAAAAAAAAAAGAAAAAGAAAAGAAAAAGAAAAAAAGTAAATAAATGAAATTGAAAGAGCTTGATATTGCATGGGTATAATCGTCCTCTTCAAGGTACTGGCAATTTAAGTCTTTGAAATTACTGTCGTGTTTCCTTGACGTTTGCAACTTTTTTATTGAAATTACTAGGTAATGTTGCTGATGTTTATTTTGTCTTTTTGACTTATGCCACTTTTATTTTTTTGATAATGTTTGAAATGGCATGACTTGACATGCAAAAATAGTGTAAGATTTATTCCCATATCATTCATATACGTTTGAATCGCTACACATTGTTTGCATGGCATTTTTTTTACCCAAAAATGAACAAGTGAAAACTTAAAAATGAGCCGTTCCAATCCCCCCCCCCTTTATGTTAAAAATTTTCGATTTTTTTTCTTCAAAATGAATATAGACTGTGAATATTACAGGTGCATCTTGCCTCGTTATGGCGGTACACAGGTTTACAGGTAATAAAAGTATATATAACAGTAATAAAGCTGATGTCATATTTCATAAAGTTTCGCGACGTCGATTTTTAAATTGTTACTTATACGCAGACTTGGTATTGTACTCCTTATAATTTTGTTGTGAGCATGTTTCTTTTTTTCTTTTCTCTGAAAAAGTTCAAATAATTCATCAAAAATATGTCTGTGAAGTTCAAATAGGCCTATGACAGAGACAACAACACGACCAAATGCAAGCTCGTTTTATAAAGCATATCCAGTTTCAATTTTACTGATTCAACTCAGCTCAAAGTCCTTTAGAATCAGCAACAAAATTTTTGTATAACTTCCATTATTTCTGATGATAAATTTACTTGTCCCAACATTCGACTTTGAAACATTGACCACAGAGACAGGGGCAGGGGCTTGCCCTCTTTTATTTATTTATTTTTTTTTTTTTATCGAAGACTACATAATAAAGATTTTTTTTTTGGGGGGGGGGGGGGGGAGTACGGTATTATGATGAAAATCATGACTAACCTTTGTTAAAATGACCAATTATTTGTTTGCTTAATTATCACCTTATTTGCTAAACAAAAATTATGGAGGAGAGGAGTGCAGTGAAGACACAAATTTAAATACTGGTAAACGATATTCGGACAATGTGGAGATGCGTAGAACGTAAAAATCCTAGTATACATGTAAAATGTGTATTTAAATAGGGCCTGTAGTACCCGGGGGGGGGGGGTAAACACGTTTTCTGATAATAGTTTGTTGTTGTTTTGTGTTCAAGAATCATCAGATTTGCTAATTTTACTTCGCTTCATACTTGTCATCAATACTTATTTCAAATTATGAATGGGCTACTACGAAAAATATCAGAGGAGTATACGTAGGGATCAAGGATTTTGTAAAAAAAAAAAAAACAAAAAACAAAAAACAAAAAAAAAAAAAAACAAACAAAACAAAAACAAAAAAAAAAAATCGCAATTTTTTACCCCCTTCTCCCCCAGTGTGAAAATGAAAATTTCGAAACCTTAGTGCACATCCACAGGACACCACATATTCCAAAAAATGAATGGGCTACTGCGAAAATGTAAGAGGAGTTCAGGGGGGAAATGTCGTTTTTTGACCCTCCCCCCAATTGGGTGAAAATGAGAATTCCGAAACCTTATTGCACATCTAGATGACATTTTAATTCATATTCCAAAATATGAAAATGTTTCCAAGGGTGAAAATGAAAATTGCCAAGTCTTTTTGCAAATGTACAGAGCAACACCAATCATTCCAAAAGATGAGTTGGTTACTGCTTAAAATGTAGGAGTAGTTCGAGGAAGAGGATGGTGTGACAGTCGGGCGGACGAACGGAACAGGATAACAACAATATATCGGAATTTTCTTCGAAAAATATGGATATATGAAAACAAAAATAACTTGTACAAACCTAAAATAACTAAATTCGGGGTAGGAGATGGGAGTGTAGGACAAGCTATACTTTCCAAGTCAATTTTCTTCAGATATAACTCCAAAAATTCCATGGGACCCGGAATCGGACACCTCCCCCCTTCTGGATCCGCGCATGTTTTTTTTTTTTTTAGTTTTTTTTTTTTTTTTTTTTGGTTTATTTTCTTTTTTTTTTAATTTCGGGATAATTATAGGACAAGTCGCTTTCCTTCATATCTTTGACTTTCCATACCATTTTGCTACGTGTCCTTGTTTCTGTGGAGGTCTAAGGTCATTCTTTGGCTATAAATTTAATAACTTTATTTTGTATTTTTTGTGTAATTTTTAGTAATTTATTAAAATACCTGCAAGATTCGTTTACGTATACTACTACAGTGTAAATGCCGAAAAATTAAACATAATAATACCAGGGACTTATACATAATTAGTGTATAGGTCCCTGATAATAATACGACTGTAGATCTGAATTTCAGTTGAAATTCACTAAAAAAAAATAGAGAGAGAGAGAGAGAGATATGTTCGTGTACTTTTTATTTTACTATTTTACATTCTAACGACCACAGTAAATTATGAATAGTATTTAAATCACGTGAGCTTGGTCTTTGACCATTATTCAGTACTGAATTCACAAAGCACAATACCAGGCAACTTAACGCTGCAGAATAATTTATTTACAATTTTATATGGAAAATGCTTTACGGGAGCCTCCAGATAAACAAACATCAAGGTATAAATGTTTAAATGAAAAATTTTGCTAATTAGTTAAGTTTTTAAACAGAAAACCGTAAACAATCTGATCGACATTGCGTGATCCTCGCCATTTTTAGAGTTAGTTTCTTTGGTCAATGGTCAACCGATATAACTCACAAGTCTCTTGGACAGCAAAATTCAATATTTTTCATGTTCATGTGTTTTAGGTAACGTGAAATATATATAGGTGAATGCACGGTCAATGAATAATTCATAAACGAGAATTTTCAAAACAGTTACTGCCAGGGATCTGACTACATTGGATCCACTCGCCCAAATTTGGCTATAATAGCCCATTTCGGTTGTAATACCAGGAACCTTTATACATATATACATATATAGGTCCCCGGTAATACCAGGTATCTCAAATGGCACAACGGGATATAAAATTAAAACGAAAAAAAGAAAAGATTAATTAGCATGAAATATTATTAATCCAATTGAAAATACTTAGAAAGCAACAACTTTTGGTAAAGCAGTTTTTCCGTATCCCCACTGTTTAGGACATGAAGCCCAAAACCCTCCTTTTAGGGAAAAAAATCGATTTTTGAGACTAAACAAACTAATGAATTTTTTGCTTTAAGATATGCTGCTTGTTTTTTTTTTTTTATGTGAAAAAAAGTTACGAAAATGCACCAAAATCCATCAAAATGGTATCCTTTAAAAAAAAAAAAAGTCCAGCTCAGATACTCCCAGCACCCAATCCCAGAAACTTAGTGACGGCCCTTATGCTGTTATGTAGCAAGGCAGACTCGAGGTATGAATATGTGTATCCTGTTTAGAGGTAGAACATATTCTAGATTAATTGCAGAAATTGTCTATAATTGGAGGGACAAAGGAATTAATTAATATTTTTTTTTATTTGTTTACATTCCGTCAAATTTGCATCGGGATCGAAAT